GTTGGGAGTGGCATCAAGTGCTGGACCGGATCTCCGTGGCATATAGGCTTTTGTAATAATTGTATACGACACAATAAAATAAATGATTAAAAAATAGGGAAACTGCTTTTGTTAAACTGATCTGTCGCAGTTGAGAGTCAGGAAGTTATAAATCAGCAAACTTAACTTTATTTTTGAAAGTTTTCGTAGGACGGACGCTGAGAGCGTTCAGTTTGTTTCTCACCTGTTTTGGAAAGAGACAATCCCCAACAACAATCTCGTTTTCAACTGTGATACGAGCATTTCCAGGCACCACTGGATACAACCTGGAAACCACAAAAACACACAAAAACACCAAGATTAAATAAATGTTAACAGATGTTTACAGAACCTTTTATCTTCAGTTACTTTGGCTTGTTGCATCTGTAACACATTTAGTTTTACAGTTAGTGCTCAGGTTCAGTATACTGCTGCTAATGAAGTAGTAATGTAGTAATGGGTGTCTAGTTACTTGAAAAATCAGAAACAGTTTCTAGAAATCAGTGGTGTGAGATATAAGTTTGGTAACGTCACATGTGGAGTCCCACAGGGCTCTGTATTGGGACCAAAGTTGTTTAGTTTGTATGTGTACGATTTGGTAAACGTGTCAGGATTTTTWAATTGTATTTTGTTTGCTGATGACACAACATTCTTTTGTTCAGGAAAAAAAAACATTAAAAAGATGATGGAGCAGTCACAGAAGGAATTTGAAAAAATACACCACTGGTTTCAACAAAACAAACTGTCATTGTTCTAGAAAAAACWAATTACATGATATTCAGTAATATGAAGACCACTGGTGACTTCTCATTTAAAGTAGATGGTACCGAGATCTGTAAAGTCAGCGAGGTGAAATTTCTGGGTGTCAAAATTGGCGATAAGCTAACACGGAGATCACACATAAATTATTTACGAACAAAAATATCAAAATCTATTGGACTGCTTTATTAAGTGAAGGAGTTATTTAATGACAAAGCTTTGTTTCTGTTATATAATAAAATAATTGTTCCTCACTTGACTTATTGTATTGAAGTTTGGGGTAAAGCCTGCAGGAAATCACAAATCCAGTTTTTGTTTTGCAGAAAAGAGCCATAAGAATTATTGATAGAAAAGATTACTTACATCCGTCAAATGAATCATTTCATAAAATGAAAATTTTGAAATTCTATGATTTGGTCAATTACAACATTTTAATACTTATGTATAAGGCCCACAAAAACACATTACCACCCAATCTTCAAGCTAATTTTGTCAAGAGATATACAGTAGTTGTTAAAATCTTAAGGGGATAGAAATGTTTGTAAAGCCCAGGATTTGAACTTGTCTGAAAGACAGATGTACCTCAGTTCAAGGCAGAGGTTTATGAAACGGTTTGGAGGATGAGCTTAAGAATGTAAGATCTTTGAACACATTTAAAAAACATACTAAAGCCAGTTTTTTAAAGGGATATGAACAAGTATAATTTGAATCGATAGGACGTATTGTTTGATTTAATAGACTTTTATTTCAAAACTTTAATTAGTATTGACTTTGATAGGATTTGCTGTTTCATTTAATGTTTTTATTATTATTCTTTAATCTTAATTAGCATTGTTTATTTGTAAATCACAAAGTGAAAACATTTGAGAACAAAAGGAGCAGACATTATAAGATTTTTTCTTCTGCTGCTGCCTTTCATTTTGTTTTTTCTAAGATATAATT